AATATTAAAGTGTTTGATGTTTTCTCCTTCTTATTGAGATGTGAGAATGCATCTATCGGGATGATGAATGTTGTGGCTTCAACGGACACAACGGCATAAATGGAGGCTAACTAAAATTGGGTTTCTATCACAGCTAGATTCATTCCCTTACTGTCAAGGAGAGAAAAATTTATATTCGATAAATCCTAGTGAGTTGTGGCCCTGGGAGTCCGTAAAGAATGTTCTCCGAGTGCGGGAAGAATACTGCATAGAGACTTGTCGCCATGGGAACGAGAAAAGGGTCAGACAATCCAACTTGGCTAGTGGCTGCTTGCACCCCTGGGTTCCTTGGCCCAGGTGGAGTGCTGGCTCTTGGCCACTCCTTCAAACTTTACCATTGCGCCCTCTCTCACGCCTGTTAAATACTTGACCATTTTAATCACTGTTGCAGCTGCTTTGTCACTGTAGGATATCTTCTACATAAGCTCGATTTAAGGTGATATGTTAATCCCAGAATATCTCGTGTAGAAGAGCATAAAGTAAGTGAAATGAGAAAGTTTCGTCCAATTCATCAACATATTCAGTATGTGTAAATAATGCTAATTGTACAAGTGGAGGGGCAAATAAGGGGAGACTGCGCAACACAGCTACTGGTGTGGGTCGCCACGCTTCAAAGCCTAATATATACCTGAGTAAGTCACAATCATGCCAACCACCCAGTATGTATGTACAATGCAAACTTCACTAACACTCCACGAAAGAAACTGGAAGTAATTCACATACCAAAAAAATGAAAACATACCATAAAAATGAAAACGTTAAAATATTTTCATTAATCCTAAAAACTCGTCTTGTTAGTGAAACTGTCCTCCTCATGCAGAATTGCTATACAATTTACATATATAATAAAAGGGCAGAACAACATCTTGTTATTCATTTTTTCATTATACCCTCCACTGGCATCAATACATTTACTCCACTTTCCCTGCAAATTCAGAAAATAACACTATCGGGGTAGGGGTGGACTTAAAATTCAAAACCGATGAGTCTTTTATTAGAGTCAGTTCTGGGCTGTAGGGAGGGTGGTTGACTTGCTGAAAGCCACAGTCGTGAGTAGAAATGTTTGACGCTGGAATTGTGTACCGGCGAGCGGCGTTTTGTCATGGAGCAGGAACACAATTCTTGATAGTATTCTCATCGTTTCTTCCAGATGATGCAGCTCAGTTTCATATTAAGACAGTATAATAGTCAACGGTGATCATTGTCTTGTATGTCAGGTTGATCAGATAACCGTGGTCATGATCTTGGTGGCAGGGGTTGACTTATGAACTTTTTGATGTTCGAAAAAATAAGGTGCTTTCATTGCCTGGACTCCGTACATCTCCTGTCACAAAGCGGGAAGAAAGTTAGCTGGATTGGCTTCATACACTTAAAGGAGCTCGTGGCTTCAGGCCATGAGTTGAACCTCTGGTGTCGGTCCTAGGACATCCCCAAATGTTCACGAAAGATGGTCACAACATATTCACGTGAGGTACTTATTTCGTCGACCTTGATACCCCTGTCCTTCATTTTAACAGATCTCGACTCTGGCTACAGTTGCCTTGTCAGTAGCATCTTCAGGCCGTCCTGAGTAGGGGTCGTCAGGGCCGGATTAAGCTTAATAGGGGGCTGGGGCACAGATCAACTTGGGGCCCCCTACCCTCAAGGTATATATAAATAACAAGAACAAAATATACCCAAATTTATCAATGATTTCATCAATATTAAGCTTCTGCAAAATTACACATTTAATGTTCATAAGAGACAGAAAATTGAGACTTTGCTAGGACATCGTTGAACGAAGTTCATGATTTATACGCTTCAACTTCGAGAATGTTTGGATTTGGGGGCCCCTTAGAGTCGGGGGGGCCTGAGGCCAGTGCCTCAAGTGCCTCATGGTTAATACGGCACTGGGGGTCGTGCCCAAGGCTTTCTTGCCCACACTTGAACTCCTTGACTTAATTTCTTGCAGCAGCGTATGAGGGGACGCCATTTGTACCACAAATTCCCATCATACACAGATGAATGAATTTTGCCATTCTGAAGTAATTTTCCCAGATGCCATACTTTAAACTTACTCTGAAACAGGAAATTGTAATACATTGCTCATATCACGGAAAAAAGTGCTAAAACTATCAACACTACGATAACAAAAATATAATAATAAAAATGTTGCTGCATCGCAAAACCTTTTAATTGGCCTTCGTATGTGTATTAGATAAGTCAATGACAAATGTGTTTAAGAATCTTATCATAATATTAATTCCAAAACAAAGCAATGAGTTTTGCTAATAATAAAAAATATTCCATTGTTATAATAATAATTTTAATAGATGTACTTAGCGAAGTGAAACATTTAACTTAACACTGAAGAACTTGCGTCATGGGAGTGTCTCGCTGGGCCATAAATAAACCTTGGACCAAAACAACGCCACCACGCTCTCATCCGCAGCCTCGCGCCGCGTTACTACCCGGGGAAATTATCTCCTCAGAGATCTCCGAGTCTGTTTTCCTCATCCAATAACAAATTTTGAGAATTTATGTAACATTTGTACAGAATTATTCAGAGTCTTCACTTTAAAGTTTGATCAATATGGTAGTGAAAGGGGTCTCACTGTATACTATGGTTATATAAAACCGAATATCAGGACTTCGAAGTCCTTAACGGAAGTTTGTTACAGTGTCCACTCAACCACCGCTCCCCACCATAATACGGCTGTAGGAAGACTCAATATTTTTAACATGAGTTGATTTTCTTTTGCTTCTTTTTCCTGAGTTTACTTATTTTTGAAATTTCCTCGGGAGTGTTTTATCTTCGATTTTACTGTGTAAGGAAAAATATATTTGTTGATTCAATACTGAAGTTTCCTCCAGCTTATGTAACTCTACTTCACTGCCACTCATTATTAAAGTCCTTTTTTGTTTCTGAGACTCAGTAGGAACAAGAAGAATATATAATTTGAATAGACTGTAAGAACAATTGTATTTTTCTGTTGATTTTAAGTATTTTTTTTATGGATATAGCGACCGAGTGAATAGAGTACTCGGCTTTTGTCCCGGTTCACACCATGGACATCCCAAGTTTCCCCCAACTCCGAATGTGCATCTAACTTTGCGGTTCAGAAGTGAATACGGTCGAGTGTGAAGCCGACCACACTGCCTCCTTGTGTACTGAAAACAGGCTTATTCTGCTGTGTGCTGTATCCACACTGCCTCATAACTAATTTCGTACTTCACAAAATTTATAACTGATACTTTCATAAGAACTGACTTTCAATGTAATCTTCTCACGGAGAGAACAAAGGTGGTACAGCAGAAACGCGCATAATTCTCACCAGTATGTCAAGGGTTCGAGCCTCGGCCCGGAAACACGTGAGAAGGGTGTTGTTATCCAGTGTGACCCTCACTACCAAACACCACAGGTTTCCGGTGCCCGGTTTCCTCCTGTACCAACACTGGATAAAGTGCCTAAACGGCTAGTAAGCTGTTAAATTGGCGAATATGATAAAAAAAAGACGGAAACAAACTATGAAATGTCAGAGCCGTAGCTATCCAGTCGATCACAAGGTAAACTAGATAGCCGCTACACGTGGGTTGTCAACATTTATGTAGTCGAGACCACAAAGTCTGAGTCTGAGTCTGAGATTAAGGCCGACACTAAGAACCATTAAGTCTGAGTCTGAGATTAAGTCTGAGACCAGCCTTCCCAGCCGAAAACTTTAAAAGTCGAGACAAACCGAGATCAGTTGCAGTAGTACCATTATTTATATGACGATGACGGAGCATCAGTTCATACATGTAGTTGGGTCATCACAGAGACCTCAACCTCTCACTGGCACCACACAGAGGTGTTAGGGTCACCAGCGCCCAAACAACAATAATCTAAATGCCATCATTCCATTAGTTTAAATCTGTTGTGTATAATTTTACTTTGGTTAAGCTGAGTTAGGTATGTGTAAGATCAAACATAGTTATAGTAATGTTTTCTTAATTAGATAGATAGATAGATTTGTAGTCAGTAAAATCGTAATTCAAGTTCACATTAAGTCTCGATTTACAGTATATCTGGTACAGTGTTTTGTGAGATGTGGCGCCACTGTTTGTTTACATCATAGTAAACCTAACAGAGTGGACAGAACTACCTTAGCTTTAGTGACCAGACCAAGGATACTAAATAAGCAGCTCCCCTTCCCTCAATGCGCGCCTTTCCTGCATGGTTATAGTTTTAATATAGATTACCAAGTAGAACGACAACGGCTTCTATTTGTTGTGTGGCGGGCGGTGGTGCCACATTTTACAAAACACGCCAGCCACTGTACACGTTATAAATGGAGGCCACCTTACATAGGCATTAATGAATTAATCAAAGTACTATCTTCATATCTGAGGGCTGGCAACCACAGTCCCCCACTCTAAACACAGACAGTACAGGGCTACAAATAAAGACAAACAGTAAGCCAGTCAACTAAGGACATCCCGAGAGAGACTGTTGTCACTGGGGTCCCTCATATTTTACTATCAAGGTTATGATCTCTTTTTATACATATCGGGCCGCTTTTTGTACCTTGTAGCAGATGTCACCTGTATACTCGCTTGGTGGTTGTAATGAGGGTAGGTTGGGCAGACTTTGGCACCCACCTGCAGGTCCCTGAGTGAGGCTAGGCCCTCTTCCATAAATACAGCGCCAGGATGAGTAATCAGCTGTGCCTGGCGTGCCTATTAACCCCACAATAACACGCTAAGGAAGTTACTAGCGATCTGTGTTGGTATAGCACAAGCATAGAACACACAGCTACCACCTACCCACCCAGGAAGCAGTGACGCCCATCCAGGAAGCAGTGACGCCCATCCAGGAAGCAGTGACGCCCATCCAGGAAGCAGTGACGCCCCACCCAGGAAGCAGTGACGCCCCACCCAGGAAGCAGTGCTGACGCCCAGGAAGCACAGGAAGCAGTGACGCCCCACCCAGGAAGGTGACAGTGATGCCCACCCAGGACGCAGCGATGCCCACCAGGACAGCGAAGGAAGCAGTGACGCCCACCCACAGGTGTCTACCCAGAGTGATGCCCACCCAGGAAGCAGCGACGCTCCACCCAGGAAGCAGCGACGCTCACCCAGAAGCACGCCCCCCAGGAAGCAGGCTCCACCCAGGAAGCAGTGACGCTCCACCCAGGAAGGAGTGACATCTGCACCCCAGGAGTGACGGAAGGAGTGACATCTACCCAGAGTGATGCCCCCAGGAAGCAGTGACGCCCCCAGGAAGGAGTGACATCTGCCCAGAGTGATGCCCACCCAGGAAGCAGTGACGCCCCACCCAGGAAGGAGGACCCAGAGTGACGCCCACCCAGGAGGAAGCAGTGACGCCCCACCCAGGAAGGGTGACATCTGAGAGTGATGCCCACCCAGGAAGCAGTGACGCCCCACCCAGGAAGGTGACATCTGCATTGATGCCCACCCAGGAAGCAGTGACGCCCCACCCAGCACCCAGAGGGAAGCAGTGACGCCCACCAGGAAGGACAGTGATGCCCAGGACCCAGGAAGGAGTGACATCTGCAGAGTGATGCCCACCCAGGAAGCAGTGACGCCCACCCAGGAAGGAGTGACATCTACCCAGAGTGATGCCCATCCAGGAAGCAGTGACGCCCCACAGGAAGGAGTGACATCTACCCAGAGTGATGCCCACCCAGGAAGCAGTGACGCCCACCCAGGAAGGAGTGACATCTACCCAGAGTGATGCCCACCAGGAAGCAGTGACGCCCCACCCAGGAAGGAGTGACATCTACCCAGAGTGATGCCCACCCAGGAAGCAGTGACGCCCCACCCAGGAAGGAGTGACATATCAGAGTGATGCCCATCCAGGAAGCAGTGACGCCCCACCCCAGGAAGGAGTGACATCTACCCAGAGTGATGCCCATCCAGGAAGCAGTGACGCCCACCCAGGAAGGAGTGACATCTACCCAGAGTGATGCCCACCCAGGAAGCAGTGACGCCCCACCCAGGAAGGAGTGACATCTACCCAGAGTGACGGGAAGCAGCGACGCCCACCTCATCTATCCAGAGTGATGCCCATCCAGGAAGCAGTGACGCCCCACCCAGGAAGGAGTGACATCTATCCAGAGTGATGCCCATCCAGGAAGCAGTGACGCCCCCAGGAAGGGTGACATCACCCAGAGTGATGCCCACAGGAAGCAGTGACGCAGGAAGGAGTGACATCTACCCAGAGTGATGCCCACCAGGAAGCAGTGACGCCCCACCCAGGAAGGAGTGACATCAGAGTGATGCCCAGGAAGCAGTGACGCCCCACCCAGGAAGGTGACATCTACCCAGAGTGACGCCCACCAGGCAGCGACGCTCCACCTAGGAAGGAGACATCTATCCAGAGTGATGCCCATCCAGGAAGCAGTGACGCCCCACCCAGGAAGGAGTGACATCTATCCAGAGTGATGCCCATCCAGGAAGCAGTGACGCCCCAGGAAGGAGTGACATCTACCCAGAGTGATGCCCATCCAGGAAGCAGTGACGCCCCACCCAGGAAGGAGTGACATCTACCCAGAGTGATGCCCAGGAAGCAGTGACGCCCACCCAGGAAGGGACATCTACCCAGAGTGATGCCCACCAGGAGACCCCCACCCAGGAAGGTGACATCTATCCAGAGTGATGCCCATCCAGGAAGCAGTGACGCCCCAGGAAGCAGCGACGCTCCACCCAGGAAGCAGTGACGCCCCCACCCAGGAAGGAGTGACATCTACCCAGAGTGATGCCCACCCAGGAAGCAGTGACGCCCCACCCAGGAAGGAGTGACATCTACCCAGAGGATGCCCACCCAGGAAGCAGTGACGCCCCACCCAGGAAGGAGTGACATCTACCCAGAGTGATGCCCACCCAGGAAGCAGTGATGACATCTACCCAGAGTGATGCCCAGGAAGCATTGACGCCCACCCAGGAAGCAGTGACGCCCACCCAGGAAGCATTGACGCCCACCCAGGAAGCAGTGACGCCCACCCAGGAAGCATTGACGCCCACCCAGGAAGCAGTGATGCCCATCCAGGAAGCAGTGACGCCTACCCAGGAAGCGGTGACGTCCACCCATACATGTGCACAACCCCTTGAACTATCTGTCAGAGAGTTGTAAAAGAAATGACAAGATATCTTTGATATATGACTTAAGTTAAAAAAAAAAAAATTTTAATCATCCCTACTCATAAATCAGTATGTTTTTTTTTTTTAACCAGCCTCTGGTAAAGTGTGTGTGTGTGTGTGTGTTTCTGTATGTGTGTGTGTGTGTGTGTAAACAGGGCGGTGTAATTCGTCTAGTGTGGCAGCATTATGTTAGTGTTAAGGTGCAGGCACTGCTTGCTTCCACTCTATTTCAGCTACCGCCGCTGGCTAGCTCTCGTGGTGAACAGGGGAGCAACTTGCATAAGTCCTCCCCTGCTGTGTTTCCTCGTGGCGACACACGGTAACTGGGTGCCTCGCAGCCCCAGGCTAGATCAGCAGGGGATCTGGGAGCAGCAGTGGGCCCCAGAAGGAAAGCCATAGGCCCACTGGCATGTGGAGACGCCGTGGCGCCTACCAACCACTGCCCCGTTGCCTTGTTCGTTATCCTTGATAGATACAGTATTAGACTTTGGGGGTAAACCCAGAACGAAAACTCTACAGTGGAGCCCCGCATCAGGCAGACAAGCTTACAGAGCTCCAACAAGACCCCAACGGCGGTATAGGCGGAAGAGGTGAACAAAACGGAAACCCAACGGCTACACCAGCGGATGAAGGCAATGCATGATGGACAGGCTACTAAAGCGAAACCCAGCAAACTGAGCTATCGGCAGTCCATTGCAACTCTCCCTTTCCCCAGTCGTTGCAGCTACCTGCACCGATGGATCAGGAAAGGGAGAGCCAAGATGTGTGGTTGCAGCCTTGAGATAAATGTACAGTAAATACCAGGTGCCACTAAGAGAGCTCAGGCTCTCAATTGGCTCAGCCATGTCAATATTGTTATTATTAACCACTTTGTATTTATATGTTTTTCTGGCTAAATAAACTGGTTCAATATCACCACAAAATCCACTCGCGTGCAGCAATCCTCCAGCTCATCATACTTTTCATCATCATCAAACCCCCTATCCCCCCAAAAGTCCTATGGCGACAGATGAGTGGCGACAGAGACAGGCAGAGATGACTGCCGGAAGTCTCTAATCACAACTCTGCACATGGGCGGCACAGATAAGATGGTCGTTTATGCACTGGGGTCTAGGCAGCAGTGCAATCCGGTCCTGTCTGTGCGACTGAGCAGCCCTTTCCAGGAGCCACTCTGCTCACCCCATATGGGGAGGAAGCTAGAAACGGTGCCCTAAACATAGCCTGCCTAAAGAACCAACCTTACTGGGCAACCGCACCCAGTAAGGTCATCCTTATGAGGTCGAAAACACAACTATAATCCCAGATTAAAACAAAAACAAACTATAAAACCTCTTATGGTCGCTGCACGGAATGCCAGGACCCTTCTGGATACTGGCACAAATGAGCGTCCTGAAAGAAGAACCGCCCTTGTGGCAAAAGAGCTGTCTAGGTATAAATTCGACATAGCAGCCATTAGTCAGTCCCAGCTCCCAGACGAGCGTCAACTCACAGAACGGGGGTTTGGCTATACCTTCTTTTGGAAGGGTAAGCCTGCTGCGGAGAGAAACTGCATTTATGGAGTTGGCTTTGCCATTCGCCATTCCATCCTACATAGGCTAACAGAAATGCCTGTTGGGGTCAATGAGCGCTTCATTTCGCTCCAAGTCCCACTAAATTGCTCACGTTATGCCTTCTTCATCAGTGCATATGCCCTGACACTGGATGCAGAGGATAGCATCAACGAGGCCTTTTATGCCGACCTTGACAGAGTGCTAACCTCTATCCTCAGAGAAGATAAGGTTGTGCTCTTAGGTGACTTCAATGCCAGAGTTGGCAGGAATGCTGACATATGGCAGGGAACCATAGGGAGAAACGGATTGTACAAGTGTAATCCAAACGGCCTACTCGTCAGCAAGTGTGCTGAAGACAACCTCACTATCACCAATACCTTGTTCAAGCAGGCTGACAGGTGCAAGGATTCTTGGCAACATCCACGATCCAAACATTGGCATATCATTTATTAAATCATTGTCAGAGAAAGAGATCGCCGAGATGACCTCATCACCCGAGCAATGCATGACTCAGACCACTGCGATACAGATCGTCGGCTTTTCAGAGCTAAGCTCTCATTTCACGTCCCCCCAAAACGGTAAAGGCAACAAGCCTCCTGGAGATTTTTTAACACCAAGCGACTGAAGGATCAAGCAGTAGTAAATGCATCTCGAACATGGGCTGATAGGCAACCCGACAACAAACAATAGAATACCGAGTGCTGTCATCACAAAAAACTGCAGTGAGAGCCTCGGCCAGATCAAAATAAAACACCAAGATTGGTTTGATGAAAATAACCAGGAACTCAACACACTTGCTGTTTACACTGACTGGCAGAACAACTCTCAGTCTCGGACCAAAGCTGATACTTTCTACTAGAAGAAAGCGACCGACCCAGCGCGAACTTTGCAATCTAAAGAACGAATGGTGGAAACATAAAACTTGTGAAATTAAAAAAAATCCTAATCAACATAAGATGAGTGAATTTTTCAATTCCACTATAACAATATATGGCCCAATTACTCATGGCGCAGCCCACCTCCGCTCACCCAACGTTAACTCACAAATTAAAAGCAAAGAAGGCATCTGTCAGTGTTGGAAAGAGCACTACAATTCGCTGCTCAACCGAAACATCGATGTGGATGTCCTAACTCCCCAGCAGGTCACTCAGCATCCAGAGCTGACCCACTTCAGCTATCCTCCACAGGGACTGATGGAATCCCAGCCGAGGTGTATAAATGCAGGAGGACCTCTGCTTACCAGTGAGGGAAGGATGGACTCGGTGATGTTGCCAGTTAGGAATTTCGAGGCCGTCAGTCTGTGAGGCTTATAAGCGGCGTGGACTGTACCAAAACCAATATACACACAATGAAAATTGAGATACACAAACCAATTGACAAAATCCCACAAACTCTCCTAATATAAAAATTAGTAAATGAAAAAGATGGGGATATCCCTCCAGACACACAAGGACCTGGAGGGATCTTCCAAACCAAACATCAGTCCCTTGTCAACAGTACCAAATAAAATCACTTTAGCTTAGCTTAGCTTGCCTACCATTGCTGAAGTGGACCTGTGGGACTACTGCTCCTGGTCGACTAACCCTCGTTCGCGCAAGGTAGATAGCCCACCTGCTTTCAGTCTCCCATTTCCTGACTTAACCTTCCTCATACACCCTACTCACAACACCAACACATAATACAGTACCGTTACAGTTTGTTTGTAACCCTTACCCACCCTCCTGACCCTAGCCCTGAGTTTTTTCAGCTCAGGGTCATTATAGCACTGCTGTTGCCTGTTCCCATTATGCTGACCACGTTTTCTCCTTTTTTTGGTGGAGGCATTGTTGGTGAAGTATGCATAAGTCCTATCTATCAGATCGTCATGGAAACTTTGGTAGTTGTCAGGCTTGTAGTCCTTGTACCAGTCGTGGATGAAGTCTATGAACTGACTTTCATGTTCTTGCTTCACCCCTCTGTTACAATTGTATCAAGCTTCCCTTGCTGCTGTCAGGGAACGTGTAAACGAACTCAGACAAAATGCATGGGAGACATATGTCAACAG